GCTCTCAGATGCAGGTGTCTGTGGGGTCCGCTAGGCAGAGAGCACACTGTGTGGGGGATAGGAGGACCAGGGCCCCGCCTAGGAGTCTGACACAAGTGGCCACATGGAGGAGGAGGACCCGGCAGAGGAAGCTGAGAAGACGCATCCCAAGAAGGAAGAGGGAAACAAGCAGAGAGTGTGTCTCAAGGTATAGGGAGTGGGCAGTGGTACCAAACCCACCTGAGAGGCGGAGCAAGCTGAGTCCTAGAAGCCAGAGGGAGGTGGGGTTGAAGGATGTTTCATTTTTCCTTTGGATGGGAGAGACTTGAGTCTGTTTAAATGTAAATGATGGGAGAGAGAGAGAGTGAGCGTGGAGGAGCGAATGGTGGCCAGATTGTAGAGATTCTCCAGAAAAGGGGAGAAGTTATACTGTACAGGTGGGCGGTGGCGAACATGACCTTGGCCGGGAGGAAGGACCCGTTCTCCAAACCACTGGGACTGGCTTCATTTGGGTTCCCTGAAAGCAGAGCCTGAGACAAGACTTGGTACAAGTTAAACTCCAAGTTTAACTCGGAAACAGGTTTATCTGTGAGGTGATCCTAGGAAATAAAAATTAGGGAGTGGAAGGAGTGAGAGAAAGAAAAGGAAAAACTAAGGTGGGACAGGATTATCGAGCTGGTCACCACTATGGGCAGCAGGAGGTTGCTTCTTCTGAGACCTCAGAGGAACCTGCAGAATGCATCTCAGCATTGTCCCTCAGAAGGACATTTGTCTGTCTACACCCATCTTCCATGAATGAGGTTGCCCCTGGGGTATTGACCCCCTACCCCCTCGGTCTGCTGTGTCTGCAGGCTGCATGAGTGCTGTCGCTGCCCTCTCCCCGCAGAGAGAGTGGATGGGCCCTGTTGGGGTGCTTGAGTATGGAGAGCTGTCTACAGCCAGAATCCCAGGAGGGCCGATGGGATATGGAGCAGGGCGCTCAGATCATTATCACAGGGATAGGGTGGGCAGTCAACAGACAGGAAGGTGAGGGGATCACTGGGGGTTCCCCCAGGAGGAAGGAAGGAGGTGCTGTGTTGAGGCGGGAAGGAAGTGGTGGAAAAGCCAAGGAGAAGGACGCAGAAGACCTGGAGGGACGAACCTATTCATTGAAGGGGTGAGAGAAGCCAGAGTAGGTGGATCCAGGTGGGTGGGTTTCAGGGCCAAGTGGGACTGGGCGGGGCTTCCACTGCAGCCTATAGGGGCCCCCAAATTCCTCCTTGACCTCATCCGTCTTCCATCCTCCCCCTCACTCACCCTGCTCTGGCCACACTGGTGCCTAAACTGTCCCTGGGACTCACCAACATTCCTGCCTTTGCCCTCCCTGTCCCTTCTATTTGAACCCCCCCCCCACTCCCTATACCAACAGGGCTCCCTCCTCACTTCCCTTGCCAGAGAGGCGCTCCCGAGGACCTGATAGAAGACAGCACCACCCTCCCTCTCTGGCCTGCTGTGGTCTGTCTGCTCAGCACACATCACCAGTGGACATTGTCACGGATGTTCATTCACCTGTGCATTGTTTATGCTTGTCACCCCTCCTGCTCATCTCACTCCTTGAGGCCAGGGTTTGGGTCTGGTTGGATCCAGCTGCACGGCAGGTGCCTACTCAGTGCCTGGCACAGCACCTGGCACAGAGTAAGTGCTCAGCACCTGTTGCTGAACAAATGAACCTGAAGACTGAGGCCCAGAGAGAAGTGGCTTTGGCGCCCCAGGGGTCAGCTCACACCTGCTGCACGGGGAGGCTTTGTGCTGGCTGCCGAGGACACCGGGAGAAAGACAAGTGGACGATCAGGGCCACCACTCTGAGAGGCCCTCAGGGCTGTGGGCACAGGGGGAGGCTTTCTGGAGAGGTGGCACTTGAGTTCCCAAGGTATCAGGAGCTGGCTGGCTGAAGAACAGGAGAGGGAGCGCTCGGCAGCAGAAACAGTGTGTGCAGAGACACCGGGCATGGGACAGACCTTTCTGGGAATTGGAAGCACGCTGTGGGTACGGTGGGGGGCGGAGGGAGGCTGGCAGGGAGCAGGGAGGGCATGGTTTGGGGTGATTTCTAGATACACAGGCAGGGGCTGGATCAGGAAGTGCTTCGTGCCCTGGACCACAGGGGCTTGGGATTTATAGCTTAAGCTGCTGGGAGCCCCTGAGATGCTATAAGCAGGTGAGGGACATGATCTGATTTGTAATTTAGAAAGCTCTTGGTGGCTGCTTTGCAGAGGAGGGAGAGACCTGGAAGCCAGGAGACCAGTTAAGGATGATTACAGTCAGTCTTCCAGACCAAGACGGGAATCTGAACCCAGGCGGTGGCCGTGGGGAGAGGTGTCTGGGAGACTCTGCCAGGGCTGGGGAGGGGAGGCGTCCAGGTGTCCATGTCTGAGGGCAGCACCTGCTGGCGCCGGGGGAGGGATGTCCGTGTGCTCGGGGCTGCGGTGGCAAGAACAGAAACCCCAGTGCAGGCAGCCGGGATGAAGAGCAGGGCTGGCTCCATAATTTGTAGGGCCTGATGGGCTCCCCTGTTGGAAAATCATGAATCATTTCAAGGTGGCAACAGCAGGACCTCAGGCCGGGTGTGGGGCCTGTGGGACTGCCCAGGTCACATGGCTGCGAAGCTGGCCTGGGAGGGGGTCAGCTTTGGCTCACAGAATCTGGTGGAAGACTCGAAGTTAGGAGAGTTAGGGAGGGAACGTGGCCTTCAGACAGCTGCCAAGAAGACACTGAAGGGCTCACAGGACCCTCAGCCACCAATACTGCAGTTTAGGGGGAAAGGTATGGGCCTTCACAGCAGAAATAGGGGAGGGCATGTCGAGTTAGCGAACTGGCTCTTAGATGGTCCGCAAGGGAAGTTGAGGTGCACAGAGCCTCACCTCCTGCCGCTCCTCGCTGACAGGACATCTTGCTTTGCTTGCGGTTCAGGCTCTAGCCCCTCTGTAAAGAGCATAAGTTTGGCCCTTTGAGCCAAGACTGGGGGGGGGGGCGCTGCTGGAGATGAGGTCCCTCCTCAACCAGACCACGTGTGCCACACCATCCTCCCAGAGGCTCCAGATCCTTCCAAGTCTGCATATTTACTCCTCCCCTCCATATAGGCTCCTCCGTGTCAGCTTTTTAGCCCCAGCCTTCTGCTGAAGGAGCTCATTCTTCACCATCCAAGTGTCAGAAAAGCCAATTCAAAGGGGCTTAGTTTTCATTATTTTTATTTATTTAACACCAGTATTTCCAGGTGTATGTGCACGCATATATCTAAAGGGTTTACAAATGATTCACTTTTATCCACATAGCAACCCAATGAGATAGGTCTTCTCCTTCTCCCTGCATGTTCTTCTCCTTCTGAATTTGACAAATGGGGAAAGCTGAAGTAGGTTGCTTAACAAGATGTCAGGAGGTTGAGCAGATCCAGGGTAGTACAGTGGCTCAGCACATTATCTTAGACCGCATTTCTGCTCATTATTCCATTCATCTATTCTCAGCATGTCAGCCATGTTTCCCTTCATGGTCACAAGGTGGCTGCCACATCACATACTCACACCTCAGTATCCAAGAGCAGAAAGAAGGGCTCCTCTTCTAGCACAGGGCTTTCTTTTCAGCAGGGAGTAAAACCTTTCCCAGAATCCCTGGGCAAATTTCTCTTTATGACTTATTGGCCCAAACCGGGTCACATGCCCACCTTTAAACCAATCACTGGCAGTGGGGAGCAATGGGCTAGCTGTGATTGGCTTTGGCCTTGGGGGAGGAGCCTTCCTTCCCTGAGCCGCCACAGCAGAAAATTGGGCAGCTGCTGGGTGGGTGTGACTGCTTTGCTTCTCAAAGGGTCAAACCTTTTTGCTTCCCCACTTTCTGAAACCATCAGAGGAATTCAAGTAAGTGTCTAAGAGTCAGAAATGGCGGGGCGCCTGTGTGGCTCAGTCATTAAGCATCTGCCTTTGGCTTAGGTCATGATACCAGGGCTCTAGGATCCAGTTCTGCATGGGGCTCCCTGCTCAGCAGGGAGTCTGCTTCTCTATCAACTCCCCCCCTTCTCAGACCTCTCCTTGGGTCGCTTTTCCACTGTCCACCCCTTAAATATCGGGGTTCCTCAGAGTTCACCCTGGGCCCGCCTTCTCCTCTCAGTCTACATCCTCCCACCCCTCACCCCTCCCGCCGCCCCCCCACCAGCCCTGGGGCCGGAATCCCCACCTCTGGGCCAGCGTCTCCCAGTCTTTCCCCTCCAGACTCCAGTCTGTACCTGCCTACTGGTGACACCTCCACCTGGATACCCCCCAAGTCCTCAAACCAATGGGCCAACTCAGAATCTTCACCTTCCTCCTCGTTCCTGCTCTTCCTTTCTTCTTCCCTATCCTGGCCAGTGGCTTGCTTCATCTTCTCCCGCCAGGCAAACGAGGAGATCTGGAATCATTTTTAATCCCCCCCCACCTCCAGTAAATCAATGAGCCAAGTGGAGTCCAGAATTGTCTTCCAAACCTATTCTCAAATCCGCAGGCTGCAGCCACAGCCCTGGTTCAAGCTTTTAGCCATCTCTCTCTCTTTTTTAAGATTCTGTTTATTTGGGCACCTGGGTGG